TGAAGGCTTTCCATGGGGGATCTTCAAATTCTGTCACATTATTTTGGGTAGGGCCTAGGCCCACTCCCCTCCCCTGTGTATCCAGGCTGAGAGAGTATCCCTCCACAGGGGAATGTGCTCCAGAAGTTCATTTGTGCAATAGGAATAAATAGTGGTTCCACTGTCAGAGGTCCCATAAACTCCCCAGACCTCCTAAATGACACCCAAGTTCAGAAGGCTTGGTAAAGTCCAATGCGGGTTCCCCAGTTTTATGACTGGGGTCCATGTGCTCCCATTTGGTCAGGCCAGTTGTTTCTGTGGGTTTCTCCAGCATGGTCTTGACCTCTTTGCTCATCTCTCAGACTGAGTCGGGAGAGGAATAAAGGAGAGCAAGGAAAGAGATACCTTAATAGAGGGAGCCATTACAGGTTTAAAGAGAATTCTGGCACTAGGGAAATGTCCAGAGATCCATAATGATGACCCCAGTTAAGAAGCTAAGCAATAATGGAGAGGCTATCTTAAATGTCCTTCCCCTATAATGAGATTGATGACTACCTTTGATGCCAGCTTAGAGCCTTTATCTAGTAACCGATGGAAACAGAAGCAGACACCCACAGCTAAACAATGAAGAAGTTTTATCCTGCAGAGAGGGTCTCCTTGGAAAACATTAATGTGAGCAACAAAGTCATAGTCGCATTCAGATTTGTTTCAAATGGCACCCATTTTTTTGTATAGATGAGGTCAATTTGAAACATTGCTGTCAAAGCAAAGGAATATTGTCAATAAATATAGCCATACAGAACCCTTACAAAATTAGAGAATTCAAGTGGCTTTTTAAAATTCGTTATAGAAAGGGAAAGTGATTCTTTCTGCCTTCCCCTGGTTTATTCATGGTATAGAATTCTGTGCAACACAGACCTTGACATAGATTTTTACAAATAACAAAATTAGTAGTTTAATATTTGTATTTGTATGGCTATGAATTTGATAGTATTTCACTCCCAACAATAAGAGCAAAATAATTTGCTGAGTGACTTCTAGAATCAATAACTCCTTGAAGCATATTATATACATTTTATCCTTCCTACGGCTTTTTGAGGGGACTCTATGGTTCTGGATTCTCTGACAAAGATATGGCGTTCTAGAGGTTAGGAAGCCTCCAGAGGTTACAGGGACAGAGCAAAGCTGTGAGTCTGGGGCAGGTACTCTGACTCCCAAGCATTGAATCTCAACCAGACATTTGTTCTTTTCTTCCCCTCCAAGGGTTCTGCCTTTGGGTTACCACTGGTAAATATTAACTAAACATTCCCTTGGTAGAAAACAAAGTGAAACTGCAAAATGAAATTGTTGGAGCAGTCCAGACTTTGGGTAAAAGCTTTCTCAAATGTAGAATCATAGGCCTCTGATGCTCCTAATTCTGGGACAAATTCATTGTCCCAGCACAGAAAGTGAGGGGTCACAAGGATGAGGATTCTTACTACCAGTCCACCAGGAAAGCTGGCCACACTCTGTGAGACTTTGTGTGCACCAGCATAGCCTACTGTCAGATGGAATATTAGACTGGTAATTTAGCAAGTCAAAGTGCAGAAGAGGAGTGTTCAACTGCAAGGATAAGATTTGGGGACAAAGGCCAAAACACTGGATGTCAACACAGATTCCTCACAGGTATCCCTAAAGCGAGCAGCCTTGTATTCAATCAGCAGCAAAGGGAATCTAAAGATCAAATGAGATGCTCTGTGGTCATTTGAGGTTTTTAGATGGAGAGAGTTAGCTACTGTGCCCTGTCTGAACAGTCTAATGTACTGTAGAAACTTTTCCTGATGCAGAAATCTATATGAAGCTGAGCTTAAGAAAGAGCAGCACGAAGTAAATGGTAAAGGGTGACAGAAATGAGACTGGGGATGATCAGGGTTTAACTAACAGGCTTAATGAAGCACCATGCAATGGAACAGACAGTGGTACCTCTGGCCAACGCAGTCCAGGTCAAAAGAAAAAGAACTATAGTGTCGGACTTGCTTTCTCCATGATCAGAATCATGTGTTTCAACCCATTACTAAATGGAACATTTTTAAATGTGTAACTCTTGATCTCTTTCCAGATACTAGATAGAAAGCTGGGTCTAATTCATGTCACTTACATTTGCTCTGTAGTGAATTTGCTGAAGACCCCAGCAAAGGTTTCTAGGAAGCAAATCATGAAAACCTTAGGATGTATCATCTCTTAGTAACAATCCTACACAATTCCCTAGGCGGTTGCACCATACCCTTTTAGTTAGTGACATATTGGAAACTAATACGTGAAACCTCAAGTCCAACGGGGGAAATACAGCTGTCAATAACATGAGAATACCATTAGAGATGGCCATTAGGAAGCTCTTTTGTGACTGGGATAGAAATCCCTATCTTAGCAAGGGACACAATGCTTCTTCTTTACCAAGCCTGTGACTGCCTCACTGTTTCCTCAAGTACAGCTGCAGTCTCCCACAGTCTTATGCAGGTGATGCAGACCTTGATAACTCTTGCAATAAAAATCCAGCCATGTATGACATTTACGAGGGCGGGAGCAAAATGTCGAAATTGCCTTGGGCGTTGGAACCATTATAAAGTTGGCTTTAATGAGAAATGGAAGATAAAGAAGATTAGGGGTTCAAGATATTGAAACAAATCAAAGTGGGTGCCAGATCACCAGGCATGGGGCTTCCTCTTAATGATTTGAGATAAAAGGAAGACTTAATGTTCGGTTTTTCCCCAACTAGCAAAATTTACCTATCAATTTCAAGTAGAAGAGAATAAAGAAATCAGGATGTTACTTTAATACCTTATTGGATGCTGACAGGATGTACTTGGGGTACCCTAAAAAGACCAGCACTTTTGTCTCCCTATGTTACAGACATACATTTTCAAGAAAATCAGAGCAGCCCGTAAGAAAAAATCTGCTTCCCACACTTCCCAAAAGATCTATCCCAATAGAATACAGTTCACTCACATTTCTATTCCATTCTTCCATTCTCTGTCTCCTGACCTGTGTTCTCTTTCCTATGAATGGAGTGGAGTCTTCAGCTACATGGTTCTCTCCATGTCAAAAGACGAAGCTGCTTTTGTTTTGAAGCCCCTTTCCTTGATAGCTGGCTGTCAGTCTCTCTGAAAGTAAGGGCTCTAAAGCAATTATTACGAGAGGACATACTCTAGCTGAGGGACAGGGACCTACCACGTCATCACATGTGTCAGTAGCCTATGCTGTCTCCCAGAAGTCTGCATGGATAGCAGTCCAGCAAAGCATGGACACTGTATTTAGGCAAGAAGGATTCCTGGGAATTTGAACACAAGAAGCAGCTTGGAGCATGTTCAGCCAAGCTCAGTGCCCATAAGCACTAGAAGGACACAGGACACATACTTGCCATGTAGGGTGAAGCCCTCCTTTGGAAGTCACCCATGGCACGTTGTGAAATTTGCTAGAAATGGAGGCCCTGCCCTGAGCAAGAAGCTGCATCACCAGGAGATCTGCATCCACACCACATTGAAAGGCTGCTCTAGCCTAAGGATGGACCAGGAGACCTGAAAACCATTCATTGATGCCTGGGTTCCGCCCCACAGATTGCAAATTCACCAGTCTGGGGTGTGGCCTACTCAGTGGGATTTAAGAAACCTGGCCTGTAGAACTGAGGTGCAGACAGGGTTGAGTCCCTGACAGATTTCCAGAGATAGGCCGCCTTACTTTGTTGCAGTCAGACTGATTTCTGGAGTCTCAGTCTCTACTCAAGGCCTGGCAGCCAGAGCTCTGCTGTAAGTATGAGGGACAAACTCTACATTAGGGCTTGAACTTCCAGCACAGCACTCACACTCTCTTCTGTCCCCATCTCTTATAGCTGCCCCTGATCTGACTCACCTACCTTTCTTGACAAACCACAAGGGCTACTATCAAGGGTTGCTTTAAGAGCACAAACTTGGAACTCTGCTCAGAGTCTGTGGCAGCTTCTAGCTATCTATGGCCTTTAAGTCTGCATCCCCAGGTGTGTCTCATAGGCAGCCAGGTTTGGGAGCCACTGAGCTCCACAGCGGGTCTTGCCTTTCATCCTGCCAAGTCATTAAGGATTTGCAAGGATGAATGAGCCTTCCTGAGAGCAAGGGCCTGCTGTAATGTTCCTTTATTAATTATGGGGAAGTGATGTATTGGCATTGATAAGGCTTCTCTCTTGGAAAAGACAATGAATGATTCGTCGATTGCTGCATTAGGTCTTTCCTGACTCAATCTTAATGCTCAGTTTTTTACTCCTGTCTTTAGTTTAAAGGCAGCACAGCGCTCGCACTAAAGGACCTCTTGGTCTTTATTCCCTTGTAAGCTGCAAGGTGCTAGCAAGAGAGCAACACCTGGAGTCTTTCAGAGATCCCTGCAGGGAAACCCCTGTCCTGGTCCATATTTGATCCGCTTCATCTAGTAGCTAGCATATACTTCTTCCTATCTAAATACGAACGCGAAACACAAAGTAAGGATTAAAAAAATTTTCGTGATACATCGCAAGATTCCCTTTGCTAAAAGAAAGCTTCCATTACCAGAGGTCTAGAATGTGGAGGAAGGAAGATGTATCTGGAGTAGCAAATTCGGGGATAAGGAAGGAGTAGGCGAGTTGGGGGTGAGGGCTCGTGTTGTCTGTGGATCAGTCTAGTGAGGTTCAAAAGAAAAGTTGCAGCAGCTCGGTTTTGCGCGTGTCTGGGTGCAGAAGGGAGCGCCGGCTTGCGCGCGGCGGGTACGCACTGCGGGGGGCCCCCGAGTCCGGGGAATCCAGTCACTCCTGGATCACAGGAGACCCGGTAGCTGCAAGGGCTGCCTGGCTCGTGCTCTCACAAGGCACCCGGGGGTGGCGCGGGGTCCGGTGAGGCAGGAGGCGGCTGGCCCGGCGCGTGCGAGCCAGTGAGAGGCTGCGGGCGGGCGGGGTGCGCGGGAGGGAGGGGAAGGAGCGAGGGAGGGAGCGCAGCGCGCGCGCCGCCCGGCCCCGGCCCTCCCAGCCTGCCGGCCTCGCCGCCTCCCGCCCGCGCGCACCGCTGCCTGCCTGCCGCCGCCGCCGCCACCACGGTCGCTGCTCAAGCCGGAGCTGCTTGAGAGTCGAGCCGCCGCCGCCGCCGCTGCCGGCTTTGTGCTTCCAGCCGAGGATGGGAGCGACCTCTTCCTGATCGCGAGCTGTCTCAAAAGGGAGCTAGCGCCGGATCGCCCGGCGGCGTGCAGGACCCGGGGAGGGAATCCATCCACAAGGCTCAGCCCAGGTAAGGAACTGGTCCCTGGCAGGCAGCGGCTTCGAGAAGAAGAGAACTGCTCTCTTTGCGGTTCCCTGGGCAGCGATTCCCTTCGTTTAAGCCAAAGGGCTGGCTTCTGAATTGTTCGTGTGTGTGTGTGTGTGTGTGTGTGTGTGTGTGTGTGTGTGTGTGTGTGTGTGTGTGTGTGAGAGAGAGAGAGAGAGAGAGAGAGAGAGAGAGAGAGAGAGAGAGAGAGAGAGAGAGAGAGAGAGAGAGAGAGAGAGAGAGAGAGAGAGAGAGAGAGAGAGCATCTGTACATTTTCTGGGTGTCGGTGATTCTCTGAGAGTGGAATTGCTCAGGCTGTTGTTGGTGGTTTTGGGCGTGAGGGTCCCCGCCTGCCAGTGTAGATTGCCAGAGAAGAAAGGAGTGGAGGGGGGTGGGGAGATGCTGCACCCTGGACACTGCTGGGCTGCGAGGATTCAGGGCGCGAAGAGCTAAGTCCACCCGGAAAGCAAGCAGCTCTGATAGGAAGCCAGACACCTCCACCCACCGGGCTCCTCTCATGGTCAGTCACCCTTCCTCCTGGTAATCTCTGGGGTCTTCCCTAAGGCTCCACTCATAAGCCACCTCTTCTGGCGGGCACTGGGTGCTACGAGGCTAGGACTGCAGAGGGGAGGGAGGTGTGGCTGGGTAGCAGAGAAAGAGGAGGGAGAAATGCAGTGGGGAGTGGGCTGTAGGATTCCCGGGCATGGGCACTGTGCCTTGGCATGTGTTGGGGATTCTGCACACACCAGCTTCTTTACCTAGAGATTCAAAGGGAACTTCATAGCTGCGTTATTTGCCACCGAGCCTGTGCTGACTCTTGGGGAAATGGCCAGTGTTCTGAGATTCAAGGATCTCCTTCTTGGCTCCTCCTTCTCGAGGAAGAGGGAGGTCTGATAGCAGGACAGTCTGCCAGAGAAACCAAATCCGTCCTGGAGATGCTTTAAAAATAAAATACAACATAACTGCGTGCTTGCATCCTTGCCCCCCCCCATGCCCCACCGCAAAGATCCACCGATTCTGTCTCTGTCTGGTGAATGACTTGCGGGCAGCTCCTACTTCCCTTCCCAAATAAAGAGGAGGTGCTTGAGTTAGAAACAGCGGTGATCCAATTTAACAAAGAATTTTTTTTTAGGAAGAGAGCAATGTGCATGTTCTGATCATGGGCAGGAAGTCATGCTTTTTGTGCGAGGTATGGTTTTAAAACCTCTTAGCCCAGCTCCCTGGAAGGCGCTCTCCGCTAGTCAGCCACTAGTGGTTGTGAATATAACAACACAAACTTTGTCCTGCTGGAGGTGTAAAGACTAAAATGAGAAAAAAGGATATCAGTGGGAGGTGTAGTGGAAGAAGCATTTCGAAAAATGACAGATGCGCTAAAGACAGTTCAGGCATCCTCCTGGTCATGGAGCCCGCTCCTAAGGAGGTGGAGATTTCTGATCAGATCCACTTGGAGAGGTTGCCTGAGTACCTCAGATAGCAGCAGCTGAACATCAACAACCCTGCTGTGTGAAGATTTCTCAAGGGAGGGTGGGAAGGCGTGGGAGGGGGCAACCTGGAGGGAATTCTGAAAGTATGCCTCACTAAAACACACACACACACACACACACACACACACACACACACACACACACACACACACACACACACACACACACCCGCCGCCGCCGCCACCACCACCACCACCACCACCACACACACACACCTCTTCTCCCAGAGCTCTTTGGTGGTGGTGGTGGGGTGAATCCAGAGTCTTCATTCATTTGAAATACGGACAAAGCCGGAAGAAGAACGACTGCTTTTAGGTTCCTCTTTCGAATCCCAGCGTTACTAGGATTTTGCTCTCTGGTTTTGCCGAACTTGCTTAATTTGGAAGGTTAACCGGGTATAGAAGGCAGGAGGAAGGGCAACCTGCTCCATCTTTAGGGTCCTGTGACCCAGCTGGTGGGGGAGGAACCCACTGCTTTCAGTCAGATGGGCTTCCTTAACTCATTTTCAGTCCACACAATCTGCCTGTGTTGAGGGTTCCATTTGGATCTCTGGACTCTCCTGTAACTAAGATTGCCTCCCCCCAAAGACAACCCTGATCATTTCCTTCTTTTAAAATGGCTGTTGTGTTTCACTTTAAAAAATGAAACGATTAGTTCCTAGAAACAGAATGAGTGAGGGGAAAGCAACAACAACGAAAAGCTGAACTGAGATAAAACATTATTCAATGCTGAGCTGACCAGAGAGAGCACAGAAGGTAAACCTCTTAGGGTGACTGGTCTTAACTCTTCTGTCTAGAAAGCTGCCTGAGGGGGCTGGGGAGAGAGGAATAATGGCCCAGGGAAGGAGGCTAAGCTTCATGTCCTCCTGTCTATCTGTAGACCTTCTTCTTACGAGAATGCTTTTTGTAGTATCAGTTTGGATGTGGACTAAGAGTTAGATGGGATCCTTGTTGGCCAAGAAGGAGAAGGAAAGAGCATAGCAGTGTGGGTACTCTAACTCCAAATTAAAACAGGAGAGGAAGGTGAGGATTGCACTGAGGACCATTGTGCAGGAATTACAGAAGTCGGCTCTTTCAAGCTCACTATGTTTTGAAACAATAAAATACATCGAAAAGAGCTTCAGCATTTGTTAGCAAGCTATATTTAACATGTTTTTTAATCAGACAAAAATAGACTTTTATTTATCTTGCAAAGTAAACGCATGGTTCCTTCCCTCTTAGTACTTAATCTGTTTCTTTGACAACATAAATGAGAAGAACTCTGTAGCTTCTATAAATTGCATTCCTCCTCTGGAAAGAGAATGGGTAGAAAAACAAAACACAATATAAAGAAAGCATTTAAGCTCTTGATTGTGGATGCACACAGTTTAGGACTCAAGTCCTAAACATTCAGTGTGGCCAATCTTTTCTCCCTGGTGGCAGAGGGAGAACAAGGCACAGGAAAGGAGCAGATAGGAATCAATGATTTCCAAACTGAAACAGAAGTTAAATCTGTAGCAAGAAACATTAAGAGAAGACAATGGTATATCAGGTGCATGCTTCATGTTCTTCAGCTGTCGTATATATGTTTCAGTAATTACATATTTTTTTGTTAAGAAATAAGTGGTCCAAGTGCTACTTTCTATCACTTAGGGGTATAAGACTTTTGCTTAGCCATCATTTAATAATCCTTCCTATAGATACTATGAACTCACAGTTAGACACCGCCCTCCCCCAGCAAGAACATTTACCCATCTGACCAAATTCTACTGCTCCCTCTTGTGGCAAGTATTCTCCCTGACTTTCTCCAGACCCTGAAATCCTCACTGCTCCTTTAGCTGTCTTTCTCTCCAGCTAATTCTCAGTGGTGACTGAGACAAAACTGGCCAGTGGGTTATAGCACTAACCATTCCCGATTTACCTCTGAACAAAATGCTCTGGCCTCCTGGGAGATGTCTCTCAGATTTAGTGGAAGTAGATGTCAGGTGTTTTGTGACCCATTGGAATGGACCTGACTCAGAAAATGTGAGTGAAAGCTTTTGCCTTTGGGATTTTGATGTAAAGGCAGGACTAGTCCGGTGGGGCCTCATTAGATGCAGTAGGATTATTTTCCATTCCATCTACCTCCTTCCTCCCTCTCTCTCTCTCTCTCTCTCTCTCTCTCTCTCTCTCTCTCTCTCTCTCTCTCTCTCTCCCTCCCTCCCTCCCTCCCTCCATCCTACCCTCCTTTTTTCCTCCTTCTGGTCATCCCCCTCTTACCTTTCCTCTACTTTTCCCTCTCTCTTTTGCCTTACCCTCTAACCTCTCATGTGTACATGTGCATCATGTTGAAAGTTTAAGCTAATCAAGGAGTAGGCTGTCATATTTCTTACATGCAACTCAGCTCACTTTCTGGCTTAGAGACTTGGAGGGTAAGTGCTCATTGGTGTCCTTGCCTCAAAGGGGTTCAGAATAAAACAGGGAATGTCTTGATTCAGTAGTACTTGCTGTTCTCTTCCCTACCAACTTTGTTTTGCACATGGCTGCCTTATGCTAATATTTGCAGCTGTCCTGTGGTACTTCCAGTCCAGAGTGTAAGAATGTTGATGAAGGTTGTAGTAACAAATTTGTTGACTTTACTTCCCACCAAGTTTTCAAAGAAGGGAGGCAACATCCTGATTGACAATGAGACAAGGAAAGTGTTTCTGTGGCTGAGGACCAATGCATCATTTAGAGCATGTTGCTTGAGTCTAGTAATAGCAGTCTAGGTTCAAAGCCTTTATCCACTGGCCAACATAGGATCTGAAATCCTTAGTGTGAAAGTCATTCATTTGAGTGAAGGTATTCTGTCAGATGGATCCCTAACAGAATACAGAGGTATTGCCTGGCAAAAAGGTACTCTGTATGGTCCCCACAGGCCTTTAGCACACACTGACTTGTGAATGGTTTATGCAATCAACTGGCAGGAAGTCCTGAGGACCTGTGATACAGGAAGAAAGACAAAGAGGAAGTGAAAGGAATTTAAAATTGGGTTGCTGCCCAGTGAATGCCCACTGAAGACTGTTCTGATGGGAAGGTAAGAGCTACCCAGTGCCTGGGAGCAGAGTTTCTAAGGAAGAAGCCAGTAACAGGAGAGTAGCTGGAACCAGGCAAGCAGGATTCCCTCACTAAGGTTTCACTCTTAAGCAACCTTTGGATCAATACTTGCAAAGTTAGCCTTTTTTCTTAAAGTATTTTCTGCAGAGCAAATTGATGGTCTTCCACTCCTGAAGGTGCTATACTGTACTGTACCATTTTGCAGCATTCCCATTGATAACCTAGATGACAGTAGCCTGATATTAATACAGGCAAATAGTCCCCTGAACATTCAAGATATAATATCAGGGACCATCCTAAAGCAAAAGGCATAGTAATCACTCTGAAGATCTCACGCCATTGCAGGCAAAGTCACAAATAATAACTTCTTTGTTAAATCTAATGTGAGAGCAAGTCAAACAGCAAGGCAATGATTCAGCAACATGAATCCAACTATGACATCTATTG